TACGCATTATTGGTGGGACTATCAAAACATTTAAATCGTCTGCAAAGATATGGGATGAAAAGGCTCCTATATAATTTACTATATCACTATGGAAAACTATGAAGATATATGGGCTCAGTGCACTACCCTGGGGTAGTCCTATGTAAGTTTTAAATACCCTGGATTTATATTCGCCGAAAGTAACGTACCCTCTCCTATCACTCAACCAGGAGACTAGAATCCTGAGTATTTCGGGAGGAATGCCTAATCGAGATAGTTTCACAATCAGACCGACATGCCAGACCATGTCGTAGGCCTTCTTATAGTCCACATATAAAGATAGTACTGGTACATTGGCTGCTAAAGCATTATTGACTTCCTGGTAGATTGACAATACATGTGTCTGTATTGAGCAGCTTTTTCTGAATCCTGATTGTTCAGGGAGGACAATATGGTTTAATTCCGCCCAAACTTGCGCGGATCACTCGCTCTAGGATTATTTTTTCATATAATTTTGAATGGGTAGCTAGTAAGGAAATAGGACGTGTTTGGTCGCATGTAGGGATTCCGAATTTTAGTTTGTTCAAAGTCACTATTTTCCCTAACTGCCAGTCCCCAGGGAAAATTCCCTGTGACAGCCACTCGTTGAAGCAGGTAGACAAACAATCGATACAGGCAGGAGGAAGCTTTTTTATCATGAAATTTGAAATTGTGTCGAAACCTGCAGATTTTTTCCCTTTTAATTCTCTTATTATCTTACTCATCTCTGCAGTTGACGTAGGTTTAACTGACGTTGCGCATACTGACAGGTTAGTCATTATTTCATTAAATTTAGCTTGAATTTTAATATCGTCCAGGTTATTTGGATCGCACGTGGGGGCTGAAAACTGTTCGGAATAGTGTTTAAAAAGTTCGTCATTAATTTCTTTTTTATCAGATATAGTTGTTTCACCTATCATTAATTTCGAAAAAGGGGGACTTTTAGGTCTATACACTCGAGATAAGTATGACCAGAAAGCGGAGTCGTTCCTACCATGCGTATTTTCGATGCATGAAAGAAAAATATCCCATCTATCTGACTTATATTTATGTATCTCTGTTCTAACTGTACGTGCCATTGCTCGTAGCAGGACTTGATCTTCTTCATGTCTATAATGATAATACCTGTTTCGAACTTTCCTCAGCTCTCTTAAGCGATCCAGAATATATTGAGGGAGGGCCGGTTTCCATTTCTCCGTTACTAGCCACATAGTCAAACGATTTTTTAAAGCGGCTAAGCTTATACCAGTCTATCACTGACACAGCTTTCAACAAATTTGACCAATCATCTTGAAATAGCGCAAGAAGTATTTCGTACGCATTCCACTTTATGTGCGCGAAATTATTTAATACTTGAAAAAAGATATAGTCTGAGGAATACACTATTGGCCAATGATCACTTGTCCCGAATTCAAGCGTCACGCCTTCTACACCGGGGAAATTTGTAAAAGTTAAATCTATATTTCTGGGTGAACGCTTAGAAGAGTTGAAAGTTCCTGGCTCAAACTGTAGATTTCTTGAATCCACCCACTTCTTCAAGATTTTTCCTCGACAATCAGTTTTTGGGCTACCCCACTCGACTATTGCAGCATTAAAATCACCCGAGATTATTGTGTTTTTACATATAAAAGAATCGAGATCTTTTAAATTTCTTTTTTGACTGTCAGGCCAGTATAGAACGCGAAGGATCGACAAAACAAGGTATAGTCTTATTTGACTGTTTTACTTGTGCGAACTATACAAAGAAAATATGGTTTTAATTTAAGAGCAGACGAATAGCCACGAAGTACATTACGCAAAATTATACCATACAAAAGTTATTTGTCCACTTTCTAAAAGAATTCATGTTTTAAAACATCAAACTGTTTTTTCTACCAGAAATAGAATACCAAATCTTACTTATATTGACTGAGGTATAAGGTTATCAATAAACACTAGTTTTTCACGTAATATTTACTTTTTGCAATTTTGCATCGCTTTTTCTATAGTAAAGCCAACAGAGGTTTTCGTACTGCACAGAGGTCGCTGATAACCGCATGAGATTGAAAAGATAAAAATTCATTAACTCGGAGATGTTTTATGCAAACTGCAAAATTGTTTCCCCAGTATGAAGCTGAGAGACTATGTTTTTCTAAGTTAAACCCTCATTTGCATTGATTATTGACTTATATTTTTTCAAGATTAAATATAACATTTACTCGTTTCTTGAGCGATGCTTGATGATAACGATTTTCTGATCACTGAATCATAAATTTGCTTTGTTTTCGAGTAGTATATGCTGACTAAACTACATTAGGTGAGTATGTGACTATTCATACATGAATTAATTCTCATCCAGACAATATAGCATTATAAAACTAGTAATAATTACCAAGAATGAAGGAGACAGTCTCTAGATTACTACAAATAGATGAGAGATTTTTGAATTAGAAGAAGAAAGAAATTTTGCCTTAGAAAGAGATAACAACAGAGTCCTTAGGTACAAGTGCTGATAATAGTGAAAATGATAAACGTTGAACCTTTACCCCCTTTACCCTTTCATTTAGCCGTTTTTGATTGTAATATTTCAGAATTTTCTGATAGTTTAAATGCACAATGTCGACTACATGAATTGTCCATACAATAAGCAAAAAGCAGGTTAAGAATTGAAGAAACAAAGCATTGCTTGTAGATTTCGGTTATTAATCTAGATATTGGAGTTGTTAATTCTAAACAGGAAGGCATTGACGATGAATCAGTGTTAAAGAATATGAATGATTTCGATATGATACGTAAACTCGATTTTGGCAATATTGTATAAAATTGAGTTGGATACAATTTTGAGAGCATCAGTTTGCTTCCAGAATTCATAACATGTAACGTCATAGCATATGTTTTTACTGGTTTTCCAGCGGATCGTTAAACTTCTAAAAATCTATAGTGTTTTTTAAAAAAGCTACAGTACTATAGCACTGAATCAAAATTTTTCAGATCACCATACTAATCTTTCAGTCTGACGATTTAAAAAATGTTTTGGGAAATAGCGGAAATATCGCATCAAATAGATTTAAAATCATTAGTATTATATTATATATTCAACTAATATTCTTTGCTTTATTAGATACCATGTGAGAAAGACTAATTTTGAGGAAGATAAGATTTTTTAATAATGTCTGTTATGTGATAGTTTCCATATTTGTGCGGTATAATCCAGTTTTGACATATCAATTCTGATTTTAATTCAGGATGAGCTGAAAACTATACTTCTTTCAAGTATGTCAACTATTTCTTGTAGTATAAGTAATTTAAAAAGGAATTTGTACACCTTTGAATAAATAACAATATCGCTTTTCAATAATACAGGTCAAATTAGAACGGCAAACTTTGGATTTGTCTAAAAAAATGCTGATCGTTTGTCGATTTAGTTTAATTATAAGCCGTACATCGATAAGAGACTATCAATAAATTCTGTAGTTTTTGAAATTCATTCATTGTCATGCTTTGACTTCGACCAAGTATTATGTTAAACCTGCGTCTTATCTCTCATTACTAAGCGTTATAAAAAGAGAAAACAGCTTTTTCTTGATTTTGATTTTATTGTTATTAATACAATCTTCTCATATGTTTAGGCAAATCTTTAATGAAATATCCATTGTTTTTCATAAGAAAAGTTTTTTATTTTGCATCGGTTGTATATCTGAACCATCGCTCAGCATAACCATCATAAATATCTCAAAAAGTGGCATATGTGTATTTTCTACCTTGCCTCTTCAGAGACCATGTGTCATGTGAAGATATGTTGATTATTAATTAATCCTGGTACGCTGACGTTGAGGTTTTTAGCTTTGCAAATAAGTTATCTAATGTATGAATATGACACATTAAAATGAAGAAAGAATCAATTACTTAAGTATTTCTGATAAATTACGATATAACCGTTGGAAAAAATGATTTCTAACTAGTAATTCTTTTTCCAACTGAAAAGAAAGAAGCGTATCGTCATTATTCAACTGAAGTATTGTTGTTGTTGTTAGATCGAATTGTTCGCATTTTTTTCAACTGAATTTGTTAACAATAAATTCCATGTGCTCAAATTTAAAATGACACGTCTAATTTGGAATATAAATTTCTTGTATTTCTTATTGCATTACTCGTTCTATACAAAAGAATTTCCAATATGTCTATATATATAAAATTTGTTCAATATTTTTTTTTATTTTATTTCTAAATTAGGCTAAAAGCACACAACAAATACATAATGATTGTTAGCTACCAAATTGTCACATATTGTTTTTACATATGTGAAGTATTTTTTTTTATTCGATCCATATAGATGTATGCCCTAACATCATGCTGATCTTTTCATCTCGCTTAATACATACATAGAGTGGTATGGTTAAATCAATCGCCTTTTATTTTTACTACTTAAAAAAAAAATACGTGGTCTATAGATAATGAACATCCATTCATAGTTAGTGATGAACAGGGAAAACTTATTGCTTTATCTCTACTCGTCATAAGAGGAAAAAGAAAGAGAAAACATAAACGTGATCAGACTTTTAGATTTTGATAAAGAAAAGAAAAAAGAAACAAATAAAAATACAAGCATAACGGCGATAAACTCATCGGTCTAAAATCCATTGAGAGCTCACTGTTGATGATAACTTGAATGTATTTCTTTTTGGATTGTTTGTTATAATTTCAAAAAATTGAAACATTCATTGTCCAGCTTGAAATAGTGAAATGAAATACTCTAATTAAAATATTTTTTCTCGTTTTCATTTTTTTCAAATCGTCATAACGTCTTTATGTAAAGAATATAAAGTGGATTTTAACTATTTCATTCGTATGCGAAATCTCTAGTATTATAGAGTCATTTTAAGAATAATATATTTACTGAATATTAAACAAATATTTATTTACATGAGCTCGTACTCGATTCTTGATCGCTAACAACATCAATGTCATCCGATTGTACATCGATATTATGTTGATCTTTTGTTGCATTAGACGATAAATCATGAGCAGCTCGACGTGCTTGTTTTTTATGTTTCATTCGACGATTTTGAAACCATGTTTTAACCTAAAATACGATATAATCTAATAAATAAGAAAAATATATTCTATCAAAATTATACCTGAGCTTCACTAAGATTTAAAGCATTTGCTAATTCAACCCGTTCCGGTGTACTTAAATATTTTTGTGCTTCAAATCTTTTTTCTAAACCATTCAATTGATGATCACTAAATACTGTTCGAGCTTTTCTTCGACGACAATGTTTCAATGAATGTTCACTATTCAAATAAGCATGAAAACTTAAACCTAAATATGTACACAATGCGAATATTAAATGAAAGCAGTGATTGTAGAAATAAAAATGGAAAATGAATAGAGAAGATGAACAGATGATATCTGTGTATACTGAAGAACAACAGATTATGAGTATACTCAGATCTCAGTAGTTATGACCAATAGTATGATAGGATTTATTTGAGCTATATTTTGTATGAAGAAACTCTATATTTTTCAATTTGTTTCATTTTCTACTTATTAGAACCGTTAGCTCATTAATCAACGACAAATTATATGTTTCGTTTTTTCTCGCTACAGATTTTCTCCTTTTGATATCGATGGCATGTGCTCTAATTTGATTATTCACGCTAACTTCTACGTAATATGTCGAGACGATATCGTATATAGTTACAGAGACAATGGTGTCTGACCTTGTAACAAGAACCGCCCATTTTTGGTTAACTTCATTTTTCCTCTCTCTTTCTCTCTTAGTTAAACAGGTGTCGTATTGAACCTTACATAGTAGTATATAATCAAAAAAAAAAAAACTTTAATTGAATATATGGCACGATTAACTAATTATTTAAATCTATTTAATGCAATACTTCTATTTAAGAAAAAAAAACTGATTAGTTCTTCTACTTTCGTTTTATTGTTGATGATCCTTTTACAGTAACAGTATATACCTAGGCATTGTCTACATCAAGCCGATTAAAAATGATAAGCGGTTCGTATCGACATTAATTAAAAAAGTAGTTGTATTTTAATAATAATAATAGAAAAACTTTTCTCTCTTTACTCATTAGTCACTCAATATACACACACACACACACATATACAGTCGTAGAACATGACGTGTATTTATAATACACGCGATTGTTAACAATGAAGAAGAAGAAAATGAAATGAAATGACATCAAGAAACAACATACACAGCAGGAAACATTTCCAAAGTTATATTGTTGAATAGGTTTTTTAAAACATATGTCGAAGTTGGTACTTAGCTTAAAAAAACTGATTATGATGACGAAAGAAAAGTTGATCTTTAATAATCTCAAGATTATTAAAAAAAAAGAAAAACTGTACAACAGCATTTGATAATTATTCACAATTGCTCAAAATCTGGAAAAACTATTTCGCGTCAAAAAACCTCTAATTTTTTTTATATTCATCACTTCTTTGATAAAATTATTCTTATAGATGAGAAGAAAATGATCAGACATAGATAATAGATTCATTAATTGAGTTTTGAGCTAAATTTAGATTGATATAACTTATCCTTGACAAAATTTGAATAATTTTAAGAAAAAATTTCTAATACCATATTTCAATTTTTTGTATAACATTTCAAAATCTTTTAAAAAAAAGTATATTTTAGTTGATTTTCTTCTTTTTTTTTAGAATGAAAAAATTTTTTTGCAGAGATTAACTATGTAAACAACTTCCGAATATATAGAGAAAATCACGTACACACTATAACTATTTGCCTATTATACTAGGAAAAGATCAGAAAGTGTTGCATGATCTATTTTGTACGATTTAGTCATTATCCTATACCATGTATTATTGGATTTTAACACTTAGTCATATTTTAATGAACACCTTATGAGCTTTGATAAAAAAAAATTGGCTCGTTTTTGACAAGCGTACACGCTACAAAGTCTACAATAATGTATTGCAAGAAAAAAAAAAAATGAAATACCTATGGTGATAAATGTCGAACTAAGTGACATAAAAAAGAGATGAAAAAAAAAAAAAGCATAGTAAAGTTTACGTCTTATTTTTTCTATAATTGATAATTAGTTTCCAATTTTTCTTTTCAAATTAATAATTGTTAGAAGTAAACCGATCCAAAAAGAAAATAAAGGTAATATTTTGACATTAATAACTGTTTCTAAAACGCAACTATGCCAGATTATTTGCGACTATGGTATCATAATTGCACCATTTTCAATTTATGATTTTTTAAAGAGTAAAGATTTCTTCATTTTGATATGATCATGTCATGTCTCATTTTTAGTGCAAAATTTTTTTCTAAATCTACGAATTAAATATGTGAAGTAAACAAGAGTGTTTGTCTATTTTTATTTTTTTTATTTTTACGTAAAATGGGTGTCTGAAGATGTCGAATATCAACAAGTAAATGGTTAAATTTATTTTTCTTATAATTAATAAAAAATAAAAAAACTACTTACCATGAAAAAAGAGTGGATGTAATTCAGGTTTAATAGCTGCATATTGATTAAATTGATTTGGTGGTTGAAAAAAATTTGGAGAAAATAATGATAAGGCCAAATCTGGATATTGAGTCATTGTTCTTGGTGCAATTTCATTTAAAACACGAGTATTGCTATTTGAAGGTGAACGTGATGAATTTGTATTTGATGATGATGGTGTTGATAATTGTTCTGTTGTTACAGATGGTTGTGATTCCGTTGTTGATTCCAATGGAGGTGATGATAAAACGGCTGTTGCATTTTTTAATAAAATATCTTCGATTAAAAAACTATTTGTACCTAACGAATGATTACTGCGTCCGGTTGAGGATACTTTAGTCATCGTCATTTAGTTAAATATAAGCGTTTGTTGTTGTTGATGATGATTTGTTTGATGTTCTATGTACGTGTAAATATCTTTCTGTTTCTCTCTCGTCTATCAGTCCACTATTTTTCCCATTGGATTCGATTTTCTTTGCTACAAATGTTCTATTTTTCACAAATCAAACTGGCTAATCAAGTGATAATACCAACTATTCAAAAAATCGAAAGGAAAAAAATTAGCATATCAAATTGCTATCCATTGAAGAAAAAAAAAGATAGGGAGAAGAGCTGAAAACGGTTTAAAACTATAAATACGCCCTAGTTCGTGCACTAATACTACTAGAGAATAGAAATGAATGATAACAATAAAATGAAAAAAAAAAATGTCATTGGTAAAGAGAAAAACAGAATGAATATTAAACATGACATCGATTGGACGATGATGAAAAAGTAATAGAAGAAGGAAAAAAGAATTAGAGAGAGGAAGAAAACGAGCAATAGCAATCATATATTGCCAACATTTAGTGATAATTAGAGAATTGCTCATAATGACTTGTACAAGATGCTTGATTATATCGATAAAAACGTAGATGTTCTAAATTTGACAAAGGGTCCTTGAGAAAAGGATTATTGATGATTTCTCAGTTACTACAACAGAATAAAAGACACATTATATTTGCATTCAGTTTTCAATGATTATCATTCATCGACTGCATATGTAAATCATCTTTTTCATGCAAACGTTCCCATTATTTTTCCATCACTATTACTTTGGATGTTTTTTTATTCTTTTTGTATTCTTGTCAATATAACCGAGAACTTATTCTTCAGATACTGAACTTCGCTCCTTAAATTTTAGAACGGTAATAACATCAGATCAGAACATAATGCACGAGGAAATGAGATAAGATGTCTTTATTTTATTGTACTTTAATTCGCATGATATCAGGTTGAAACTAAAATGTAAAGAACGTGATTAAATTTGACATCTTTCTAACCTACTCAATTAGTGTGCAATGGCAAGAAAAAATTTTGATCGAATCGAATTAGAGTTCGAAAAAAAAAAGAAGTTCTAACCAAGAGAATAGAAAAAGGTAAAATAAAAATGTTATGTTCAATTCAATTCAATTAAAGCAAGATATACCGTCTTACAAAGAGAGACATAATATGTTCTCAAATTGCATTTAAGGAAAACAACACATTGAGGTTTTAAAATTGTCTAGATAAAATAGATTATTGTTTTCTCACTGTATGTAATTAGCAAAGAGGCATTTCTCATTGTTCTCCATCGAGCAGGTTATGATCGTATCTCAATGGAATGTATCATTGAATTAACCATAATCAATTATCAGCAGTACAATCAACTTTTCGTAATCTGTACCTGCAGTATAAAAGAACATAATAATTTCTAAATTCTTAATTAATTCAGCTGTACCTGTTTCCTGTTGAGGCAATTGTTGTACATTAACAAAAATTGAAATACTTTTATCTGATTAATAAATTCTAATTTTTAATATACTTTTATTCGTATAAATATGACATTTAACAACTAAACGTTTCGACGTTTACCAGCGTCTTCATCAATAGTAAATTAACAATTTTTAGAAAACATTTATGCTGTATTCGTATTGCAATAACCCAATATAAAAATTTATTTCTAAAAATTGTTATGTTGCTACTGATGAAGACGTTGATAAATGTCGAAACGTTTAGTTGTTAAATGTCATATTTTTACGAATAAAAGTATATTAAAAATTAGAATTTGTTAAACATTTTGTATTTAAATAACTCAATAATAAAAAATTTTAAGGATTATTTGAGGAAAATTCAATGCACAAAATGGCTCATTTTTATTACTTTCTAGTTTTTCTTTCCCAATATTTGCAACGGTTAATGCAACCATCTTCTAAAATAATTCTTTCTTATTAAATCTTAATTGTAAAACATTTTCAAATAGGAGTGAACAAAAATTATTTATGCATTCTCTTCTACGAATCTCCACGTACAACAGATGTCGGTATAATCATATAGTAAAGAAGTATGTAATGTAATACAGTGTTTGTAAAAGAGGAAATAAATGTTTTAAGTCATGTTATCTCGCTATTATTCAGCCATATGTAAGAATACATTAAATTTATTAACCAAAGATTATCTTCAAAAAGGTTTAGAAAATGCAACAGAACACGTTCACATTCAAATAGTTTATACGAGCAAATAATAAACAAACTATTAAAACTACACAACAGTTCAATATACATATATAGGTAGAAAATTGAATATAAATGCCAAAATCATTTGATAATAAACAATAATACTACTACTAATAATAATAATAATAACAACAGAAACATGTATATAAAGACTAGCAAATATAAATTTTATTTAATAAAGCAGTTTAAAAAATGATTAATTATTATTATTGTTATTATTATTCGATGTTGTTACTTCTAAATTTGCCAATTCTTCTTGAGTCAATTCATGTTGTTTATTAAGTTCAGCAATTTGTTGTACTAATAATAAACGTTCTTGTAAAATTTTTTCTAATATTGTTTCATTCTAAAGTAAATAATAACCATTCAGGTATCGAATTTGTACAAATATCACATTAATTACGTACAGTTGTTGACTGTGGATATCTTGCTGTTTGTTGTTGATTAGGTAAGCCAGATTCAAATATATCATAAGATGTAGGCATATCAGGGCTAATTGTTGTTGTTCGAATGTGAGAATTTAAGTCTTGTTCATCATTTTTTCGACGATTGTTATTTGTTGTAACTGCATAAGTTTGTTTTGTGATTATATCCGTAGAGGTGGCTGAAGTTGGTCGTGCGAGTTTTTTCGATGCGTCTAATGCTTCCATATACGTTGAACGATTAGACAACAAAGCAGATGTATTATGATGAATACGATCATTAGGTACTAAAAACACAGAAAATATATACTGTTAGAATAAAAATATCTAAACAATTAACACATCACCATAATTTTGATACAAACCACTATCTATTTGTTGCATAATCATGTTGCTATACGATACGGGTTCAACTGATGAATTTGTTGTTTGCCGTTTATCCATATCTCGTTTTGGTACCATGGTTGTTTGTCTGTTATTAGTATTAGTATTATTCATATTTATTTTTGTTGACATCCAATTTTGTGTTGTCTCACGTGGTTCACTAGGATCAAAACTCGGTGTCTGTTGCTGACGAGACGAATGTAGATGCTGCATTGACGAAGTATCATTCGTGTTGTAAAATTGTTGATGACCACCATATGCTATACAAAAATTAACAGACATAATCGTATTTATTATGACGAGATAAAGTAGTCATTGACTTACATCGTGATTTCGTCGCCATTTCGTTATTGACTAACTGACACACAGTTTGCATCATTGTTTGTAGCATGGTCATTTGATTTTCCATTTTTTGTTGAAAATCAAGCTGTGCTTTTGCTACTATAGCCAATTGTTCTTTAAATGCAGTCATCTCTTGACGAAATGATCCTGTGGATGATGTGTACGAATCTGATCCGGATTTATTTTTAGACATGACAGCACACTATACATGAGAAGACAAAATGTAGATATTTATCTTTATTCATTTTTTTTCTAATAAAATGATTGTACCTGCTTGACATGTCCGGTTAGTGAAATCAATGCAGATACGAGAGCAGTGCTACACGTATTCGACTGAGCAACTGTAGTATCATCTAAATATAAAAAGAAACATAAGAAACTTAAACTAAAAATATTGTAACAAAAAAGACCTCGCGGTGGTTTAAATCCAGTGACCAACTCTAATTCTGACATATTCGATGAAAGTTGATCGAGTAACTAAAGATATCAGAAAAAATAGCTAATTATGAAGAATGGTGAAACATGGAATAACCCACTTGTTTTAGTTGGTTGCTAGACGTTGATTCCCCCATTGTTTTTCCTGTTTTCGATACATCAGACATGAAGGAAACATTAACTGAGCGAGTCGACGCATGTTGTTGCTGACGAGTGGACGAATGTTCACCGTCGATCGATGTTTTATTTTCGTTTACCGAACGATGATAGGCCGAAGTTGGTCGTTGATCAACTTTAGTTTTTATTGCATTTGCTTGACTTAAACGCACAGGTTCGTTTTCAACTTCGTCCTCTTCATGATCGCCTGAACTCACGGAGAGGCCATCTATAAAGAAAGCAGCAATGAATGTTGTGACACCGTCATAGTCTGTACAGCGGCAGTTGACCTTCTTCAGATTGATCCCAATTTCCAGGAGAATTTAATGTTCTTGCAGAAGTCGGACTGAAATGAATAAATAAATAACGATGAACAAACAAACGCTTATTAAAATAAAATAACCATACCGTTGGCTCTTATTTCGATTATCTACTAAACTTGTAAAATGATTTTTTCCACTGCGTAACTAAAACGATAATGATATGAAAATACATTTTATTCAAACAAAATGATAGTATTAAATTGATAGTAGTACCACACTGCTCTTGGGAACGAACTTTTCCGATCGACTCGATTGTAAAACCCCATTTGATCTTTGCATCAATTCATCAATCTGAACATACAAAATATTTATACTTAGGAAACACTTATCGAGCTATTAATTTACATCACGTTCATTGAATAAGATTTCTCGTAATATACCCAACTGGTTATTATTCTTCAGGCGAGCTTCTTGCACAGCTTAAAAATAAACATTAAAAAAATATTGGTTATCAAAAGGCAGAGGGTAGAATACCTTTAGTAAGTATTTGACGTTGTTTTTCTTCTTTAAGCAACGCTAAATTCCGAGACTGATATGCTTGTTTTCGACGATTCTGAAAAGAAATACACCGACAATAGCAATAGATTAGTATAAGAAAAAGATTATTACCATTTCATCATCACTGAGTCGGTGTTGGGATAAATCACCAATTGAAGTCTAGAAAGAAAAGCGAGACAACATAAGTATTTTAACATTGTACTTTTTATTGAATTTGAATATCTAAGAAGTATATCTAATTCGAGTGTATTTTACTCACATCCCAATCTTGTCTCTTTGTTACGGCCGGCTTGCGCGTACCTCGTTTTACTTGCTTCGACATATCTGGAATACATTCAGTAGCTGAAGAATTTACTAGCTTTGATAGAAAAACTACACTAACGAGGAAACCTTCCCAACTGACCAATCGCTTTAGAGCCGAAACCTAGTGGATTATAGGTGGTCGACCATGCTGATTCCGAAAATCAACATGAGACGGGCTAATAGGCCTCCGGAGACCGGTTTTCTGGCAAACCAGTTTTTCAGAAACTGGTCTTTCGAGGCCTATTAGCCCGTCTCATGCTGATTTTCGGAATCAGCATGGTTGACTACCTATAGTCCACTAGGTTTCGGCTCGAAAGTGATTGGTCAGTTGGAAACGTTTCCTCGTAAGTCTCATTTACTACAATCCACTCTGAGACAACCTAACCGAGAAAATAAACAGTATAATTGTTATTAATCTAAACCGGAAATATAACACGCTGTTTGGAGAGACTTATAGGTGAAGAACTAAGTTACTTTTCAGAAAAAAGCATTCGATCTGTTATATTTTGCTGAAGTTTTTATCAAAATCGAATAAAAAATAAAAAGATTTTTCTATATGATGCGACACCCTTAAACATTAAATATTTTGGCAGCTGAAGTGAAAAAGACGTTTTGAGTTATAACACGAAGGAAAATCTGTAAGATTGTGATTATGCAAAAATTTGGCAGCAAATATGAACAGAAAACAATCTTTGTGCACGAGATTATTTTACAGTTCGAACATGTCTAAGATGTTCTCAGATTCGGCAAAGTAAAGTTATGTATTCCCTCATACATTAGTTACTTGTTAACTATAGCATTGCCTCAGTAGCACCATATGCATAAAAATAATGCACAAATGCACATACATGATATTCATAGGTTCACGTTAAGTTTCTTCATTCTATCTTCGGAAAAACACTTTGATACATTCTCAAAATACTTTTTTCTTATTGTTAGTTCCGGATTTCTACTTGTTGGGAACTAAGCAAAAATCAAGACGAAACACGTATCATGGCGACAAGTTGTGGCTTATGATGTGCAAAAGAAAAAAAGAAAGATGGTTATTGATATAATTTTTTAATCTTTGCTTGGTTAAAATGTTGAAGGCCGGTCTGTTACCTTCACCAACAATTACTCCTTTGACTAACTCAGTATCATCAAAAAATAAAATTGATTCTCAAACGTTTATTGAATTAAGATCTGGTTAGTAGTGATTTTCATGTTTTTTCAGTACGCTTTCATTTATAATGCGCGTATTTAGAAGTGCCAAACGTTCGAATTTTTTTTACTGTCGATGGAACGAAGCCGGATCCATTTCAAACATTCAAAACCGGAAGAATCTCAACATTTGTTTACAAGGGTGCATTTCGACTAGGGCCTGGTAGAAGAGTTGTGAAAGTCGTTGCTGTATCAACGTGAGTAACGCATCATCTTGAACTTGAAAAAAACTTGAGTTTATTATTTTTTAGTGATGGTTTGCGTGAAAGTAACGTGACAACAAAATATGTAGATGTGAACGATATGTATTCTGAAAATAATTATGATTTTGAACCGGATGAATTCGAAGAAAATGGAAATGATTCATTTGATAATCAAAAGTCCTACATGGATAGAAGTCCAGTAATTATTTCATCACTTTCAGTCATAGCATCGATACTATTGATATAATTCATTTTAGGAGCGTACATCACCATCCCCCCAGAGAAAAAAATCCGGACAGAATCAACGACGAACAAATTCAGATTCGAAACGGAAAAACAATCTTGTATCCATGTCACATTCCGATGTTGGCGATGGAAGAAATGAACCAAATAATCATATTAGAACAGCATGGGATGATGCTTTCAATGTACAAGGATCGGTTGAAGGTCCTATTTCACCTGTGAATTATGCGGGAACTCAAGTCAACATTTGGGGAATACCGCCTGGTGGCCAGTTTAGTGATGAACTTTTGCATATGGCAGATCCATCTCGCAATTCGCAATACGGCTATATGACGGAAAAAATGCTCGAGGTATGCCAGAGGTTCCATTTTGTTCACAGTTGTTTCTTGAGCTGTTTATATTATTAGCGTTTACAACAACCACAATACCTTCCAATTACTGCGCAACCCCCACCACCTAAGATAACTGACGTTACTCAAGATGAATCAGAGCGTGACAATTTTTGGGATAGAAAACCCAAACCATTTAGTATGGGTGATGGTAACTGGAAAAAAACTCTTGAGCATATTTTTCTTAATATTTATAATTATGTGAAAGATGAACAAGAATTACGTGAATTATTTGGATGGAAAAAATTCGGACGAGTAAGAAATAAATATTTCTTTTATCTAAATTTTCTCTCTCGATGTTTTTTGTATAGATTGAGTCAGCTCGTCTTATTGACAAAGGGAATACGTATCAAATGATGATGAATTTTAAGAAACCACTTGGAGGTAGATAATAGTTACGAGAAAAGGGAGATGATATACAAATTTGTAGTTTTTAGAATCTACACAACAGCCAACATCGCAGTCACAAAATAGAAAACCATCGACACGTCGACCGATTAAAAGAGTACGAACACCTCTCGAAGAAGAAAAACCAATTAGACAACCAGAACGACGACCTCAACCTATCACACCACCACAAACACCTCCACGTTTTCAATCACCTCCACGTTCTCAATCACCTCCTGTCGAACAACATAATGATTCAATGCGTGATGATCATCAACCAAGAATATACACTGAAGAAACGGTACAACAAGGTACTCTTGTTCCATTTCAAAATTTCAATGCAGAACAAGATTGTGAAGCATTACGAAAAGCAATGAAAGGTCTTGGGACAAACGAGAGTATGTTAATACATATTCTCGGAAATCGAAGTGTGGAGCAAAGATTAAAAATTAAAGATACTTATAAGACAATGTTTGGCAGAGATTTAATAGAAGATCTCGAAAGTGAAACAAGTGGAAATTTTCGAAAAGTATTAAAACGACTATTATTATCGCCTGTCGAATTTGATTGTCATGAACTTCGTCGAGCCGTGAAAGTTAGTTCCTGAATATTCTATTCTATTATTTATAAAAGAGTTTAGATGTTATTTTCATTTACTAGGGTGCTGGCACAGATGAGGAGGCATTAATTGAAATTCTCACAAGTCGTTCTAATAAAAGAATTCAGAGTATTGCTGATATGTATCCAAAATGTAAGTGAAACGTACCATTCTATTATGAGTATTATTTCTGTAATATTTTCATTTTATTCCAGTATATGGTCGATCATTAGAAAAAGATATAGTTGGAGATACTTCAGGACAGTTTAAGAAGATTTTAGTTGCGTTATTACAAGGTAGTCGCCCTGATTCGAATGAAATTAATGAAGATGATGTACAAAACGATGCTCGAAGTCTATATGAAGCAGGAGAAAAAAAATGGGGCACTGATGAGTCGACGTTTATTCAAATTTTATGTAATCGAAGGTATTCATCAAAATGGAATTTTGATTTTTAAATATAATGTTTTATCCGTTCTTTTTTTATTCCCATTTAGTGATGTGCAATTACGAGCAGTATTTGACGCTTACAGTCAATTTAGTAAGAAAGATATTGAAGCAGCAATTAAATCAGAAACAAGTGGTAGTTTATGCAAAAGTTTGCTGGCAATAGGTTCGTATCATTCTTTTCTTGTAATTGTTATATAAATATTTTCTATTTTTCATCATAGTACGAGTTATGCGTAATCGTCCTGGCTATTTTGCATATCAATTAAAAAAAGCTCTCAAAGTAAGGATTTTTCAATATTTTCTTTTAAGATTTCATATTACTTTTTAAAATACTAACATGTTTGTAGGCAGCTTAAAATTATCGACTGGTCAGTAACACATTGCATGACATAACTACTGAATGCATACACTCTATTGATGCATGGAATATTTATATAAACTATATGTTAATTAATTGTGATTTTTGTGATTATAGGGAGTAGGTACAGATGAAGAAGATCTTAATCGAATTATTATATCTCGCTGTGAAGTTGACATGGTACAGATAAAAGAAGAATATAGCAACATTGGAAAACGAACGCTCGAAAATCATATCCAAAGTGATACGTCTGGAGATTATCGAAAATTATTACTCGAACTTTTAAAAGATCCTAGTCAACGAACAGCGAATATAGGCGATGCCGGTACACAGTAAACATTTTTTTCTAACTACCAGAATAATGATATATCTCTTTAATTACAGGTAAAAACGAAAATTTAGAGCTACCGGGATACGAACAACCACTTATTTATAAAGAAGAAATTATTGTGAGTTTGTGACACGTATACTACAGTAATCATTCTAACAATTATTTATCTCTCATACAGCAACAAGGAACAATGGTTCCTGCTCCAAATTTTGATGCAAATCGAGACGCAGAAGCTTTACGTAAAGCAATGAAAGGTCTAGGTAAGAGAAAGTTTTTAATGTGATTTTACTATTGTTTTCTTGGATATCTATTTAAAGGAACGGATGAAAAATCAATAATAAATATACTAGGAAATCGAGTAACAGCACAACGTGTACAAATAAAAGATGCATTCAAAAGTAAATTTGGACGAGTAAGTAATAGCCTATTTAGAAATGTATAAGTTTTATTATTTAAATAATAATTTCTTTTTCGAAGGATTTAACCAAAGATTTAATTAGTGAAACGTCTGGAAACTTTAAAAAATTGCTTGAACGATTAACAATGGATGCCGTTGAACTTGACTGTTTTGAATTAAAACAAGCAGTTAAGGTATATTTGTCATAACATTTAAAAATGTCCAATTTTTCGTCTTTTTACTAAACATTCTCTATTCATTGATATGCATCTTCATCTCATAGGGAGCTGGAACAGATGAGGAAACGTTGATAGAAATATTAGCAAGTCGTTCAAATGAACGAATAAAAGCTATCAACAATTTATATACTAAAAGTACGTTAAATAATAGTTGTGGATAAAATCTGAAAAGATCTCGAAAAAATGGCAGAATTGATTACGTTAAATTTGTTGTAGACTTTTGATCTTTGAAAAAGACTAAGTTTTTAATTTCTTCTTCAGTTTTGATCTTAGTCAAATAAATTTTTTATTTTTCCTACAGAAACGATCCCGGTTAAAGTATATTTATTTCTTCTGTAGAATTCCAGTATTAATTAGAAAAAAGAAAAAGTAGACGTTGATCAAAAAAGGTGAAATTAGCTTTGATAAAAAACTGAACTACTCAGATGTTTGTTGATATATACAGTTCATTCAACAATATATAACTTTTTGTTCTCAACAAAGAATAACACATAAGATTTAGACGATCTACAAAAGAAAGAAATACATTTCTAACCGAAATTGTTTCTGTAGGAAAAATAAAAAATTTAATTAACTGGAATCAGAACTGAAGAAGAAATAAAAAAATAAGCATTTTCCGGGATTAAAACGGTAGAAAAAATTTAATGGGATCAATTCTGCCGTTTTTTCAGGATCAAATCTATTTCAGTCTGTCATTGTACTTGTTTTTTTCATAGTGTATGGTAAATCACTGGAGAAAGACGTTTCATCAGATACATCGGGAAACTTTCGACGTTTATTAGTATCATTGATGCAAGCAAATCGACCAGAAACGACTGATGTTAATATTGAACAAGCGAAACAAGATGCACAGGCACTTGTCGATGCTGGTGAACAAAAATTTGGAACAGATGAATCTCGTTTCAATGTACTGTTTTGTAATAGAAGTGATTCCCAATTCCGAGCAATCATTAATGAATTCACAAAATTAACTGGAAAAACGATTGGTATGCACTATTTTACTCTGAACTATAGTTTAAAACTAACTGATAAACATAACATTCATTTTTAGAAGAGTCTGTTAAATCGGAAACATCGGGAGATTTATCAAAAGGACTTCTTGCGATTATTCGCTGTATACGTTCTCGTCCTCACTTTTTCGCTGAACAGATTCGAAAAGCGATGAAGGTAAATGAGATTATAATATATTATGGTGACAATAATTTTGAAAATATTATCTTTTAGGGATTGGGAACCAAAGAAAGTGTACTGAATAGGATAATAATAACACGCTCTGAAATTGATCTAGTACAAATCAAGGCGGCATTTAATCGGCTGTTCAGTAGAGAACTGGAACGAGATGTGAGTGCCGAAACGTCAGGAGATTACAAAACATTATTACTGGAAATACTGAAAGACCCAGGTCAACGTGGTGCAACTTGATTCTGCAAGATTTGTATCAGTTATCATTGATGGTTCGTTTAAATGAATCTTGTCATCAGGTGAAGATTTCATGCTAGCCAAAAGCGCACATCTATTTGTGTCTAGTTTGTTACAAGATATCACACCTGCGAGACATTGAAGGATTATTTTGCTCATCTAGAAAATATGTACTCGTCTATTTTTTTGCTGCGATGTTTATATATTGTTATTATTTGTTTCCCGATTTTGTTTTGTAAATAAATTATTACAGTGGAATTTGGGAGACACGCTAAAATGATTATAGATCTTACAGAATCCTCTCACAGAAAATTTATTCGCTTACAAGGGCACGTTTTAAGTGCTCCCTCGCCTTTTCAACGGAACCTAGCGGGTTGTAGGTTATCGATGATGCTGATTCCAAATATGAATATGAGAGCTGTTCTTGGGGCTTCGAAGATCCCATTTTCTGGAAAATCAGTTTTTCAGAAACTCTGGAAAACAACTAAAACTTTTCTTCATGAACCATGCTTGTAGCCCGCACATTTCTGATTAAAATGAGACCTCTTTCAACTCTACATGACCTTTATTTGCAAAGTTATAGAATTTACAAGAAAAGCCCTAAATATTCATTGTCAACTCAAACCTACAGAAGTAAGAAGAAATTAGTTTAGGGCTTTTCTTGTAAATTCTATAACTTTGTAAAGAAAGGTCATGTAGGGTTGGGAGAGGTCTTATTTTGATCAAAAATGTGCGGGCTACAATTATGGTTCATTAAGAAAAGTTTTAGTTGTTTTTCAGAGTTTCTGAAAAATTCGTTTTCCAGAAAACGGGGTCTTCGAAGCCCTAAGAGCAGCTCTCGTATTCATATTTGGAATCAGCATCATCGATAACCTATAAGCCACTAGGTTTCGTTAATAAAGCGAGGGGGCACTTAAAAAACGTTCCTTCATTGGTATGATTTCATCTTCAATGGATATATATAATTTTTATTAGCACTCGTGATCTTCCGACACTATAACTCAAATAAGTCAAGATAAAACTTTAAAAAAAAGCCATATGCAGAAAAGTAATGGTGTGAGAAACATTCCATATGGTTTCGAATGTGTGTAAAATTTTAAGTATTAATAATATGTCAGTAAATTAAGAAAAAACAAAGCGTTTTAAGTCTTGTTGATCCGGTGAAAAATGAAATACGCTAGTGAGTATTCAAATTCAATTATTTTGTAAAAATCGAATGTATTTCGACACGATCTATTCTTACTTATACAGCAGGGTTATATTAAACCACTATAATGTTTCCAGTCGTTGTAACTAAAACTTAAATCTTTTTCCCTTAGGTATCATATATGCGACTTTTGTTTTACTCGTCTTGTTTGTGTTTGGGACGTATCAGGCTTCATTAGACTTCAAACGTAATGTGGTAAGTCTAAAATTTTCTTCAATTACAGTTTCGTTTATGCAGCTTTTTCCTTCTCTTAGAATGATGATCGTGTTCCTACGGCTCGAATTGAACCCGTAACCATGACTGCTGTGAGTATAGAATGTTTAATGATTTTCTCTATGCTATTTCATACATGTTTTTCCCTTTCTCTCTAGTTAGCCAGTATATTGGCCCCAATTGCACTTAACTTTTTCACCGGAGTACTGGGTAGTCTCTTCAATAAACCAAATGATGTCGAAGAAGTAATAGAGGATAAGTTTTTGTTTTTTAACAAGACAAAGAATTTAATTGTGCTTTAGCGTGTAGTTTATGGTCGACCGATGCAAGTAAAATTGTGTGGCGCCGAAAATTGTCTGCAACTATTAGATCGTGATTCTGGATATACTACAGTTGGAAAAGGTGATAATATGCAACATGCACTGGGAGATGCAATGCAAGCAATGTTCAATTACCTATTACAACGAAATCTTCTTAGCTTACATGATCTATGCCGAGAACATATCCATTTTCCTCATCCAGATCAAGAGAACTGTCCTGGTGTTGAAGTTAATACATGTGAATTAAGCAAACCTATAATTGCCGAGCGTAAGTAAAAACTGATATCAACAAAATTTTTTACAACAGATACTTAAAATTAAAAATAAATTTCATGGGCAATTGGTGAGGGAATGTCAAGCAACTGTAGCTATTTTTACCTTACTCAAGTATATTCTCATAATAATAGAATCTTATTTGCTAGCGCCTTGTATGGATCAACATGGCGCAAAATATTGTAAACAAATGCAATCGCATTGTACCGACTCAATGTATTCAACATTTATGCTAGATAATTGTTATAAAACATGCACGTAAGTAAATGTACATCTTAACTGTAAAGATGAGTTAAATTTTATTTTTTTTGGTTCTAGAAATAACTGTTACAAACCACCACCTCTTCCATGCGCTGTGAGCTATAAACGTTAATTCAGACAAAATAGATGGACACTGGGTTTTTTTTTATTTAAATAGAATTTAAAACCTTTTTTTTAAAATAACAGTTAAATGATAAAAAAAAAGCAACAACACCAACAACGTGTAAAAAATACTGTGCATCATCTGACTAAAAAAAAATTTGGTTAGTATAACGAGACCTGAGGCGAACGTACGACTAAAAACATTAATTAACAAATATAATGTAAAAATTGAGACATTCTGGTTCCAGTTACTGTTCTAACGAAGCACTACCAAGATCTATTAGACGATGACATCTTTTTTATCTTTCATTTCAATTAAATCTTTATTAACCTCGGCATCAGCATCATAATTAATTGTATTTTGCTTTTTTGCCCATGGCTCAGTTTCACCTTGAACAAGGAGAAAAAAGCCAATTGTTGAAATAAAAAATGAGGCAGCATAAATCATAAAAGCAATTCGCCATTGTGCAGTGGTTTTCTAGAAACAAAAAGTGTTAATTTAAACACTGTCAGATAAACATCAGCCACCAGTTGCTTGACAAAAACGGTTACAGTAATCCCTATGATTACCAGATGAATTGTGAAACAGGACTTAATGAAATTAGAAAGTGAATTTCAACACGGCAAGAAGTACGACATAATTTGATAGAACTTATGATTATCCTTAAATACATTATATTTAAAAGCCTGACATCTACGGATAACAATCCTAAAATTCGAAATGTTTTTAACTACAATATACGCAGAGAGAGAGAGAGAGAGAGAGACTAGGATAGAACAGAAGGAAAACAGTGCACAAAACAACAGTACACAATTGTTGGAATCAAACACTAAAACTACGAATTTAAAAACATCAATTTTCCTTTTGGACTAAATATTCAAAAGTAAACTTGAGGTGTTTGATTCCTCATTCTGTGCACTGCTATAGTATGTTCTATCCCTACTGCTGAATCCATACAGCTTATGATCTTGAATTTCAGACACGGTACTAACATCCTTTGTAATAAGACTTGTTAAATAGGGTGCACAAAACCCGCCAATACTGGAAACAGTGTTACATATCCCAAATACCACTCCTGAATGGACACCACTAAAATCGCCTACATTCACTACATAACCACCCGACATCATAAAACCACTGAAATTAAACATAATTCAACTAAAGTTCCATTTTGCTTATAAGCACGCATGCAACTCACTTCAGAGCAACACCTGTTGTCAACAGACCAACAGCTAAATATCGTCGTGTACAATCAAGAAACGATATCGCGAGTAAGCAAATTGCTGGCGACAATGTTCCTGAAATAATAGAATGTCACAGGGTAACATAATTCCTGGAGAATATTTAATTACCGATTGTATGAAATATTTTTCGAGCAGTAACTCGTTTAACATATTCTTCTCGAATAATATAATCAGCTAAATAACCTGTAGTAAGAACAACAATGAGCGATGCTATATGTGGCAATGCTGAGAAAAATCCATTCTAAAACAATAAACTTAAATTTGTTAGATGTTAAAATTCAAATAAAAGTCAAATACATACCTCTTCAATACTGAAAAGCAAAACTTCGTTCATATATTCCGGTACAACAGTCCAGATTGCGTATAGGCCAAAATCGCAAAAGAACATTCCAATCATAATTGCCCAAAATGCTTTCGACTTAAGCATATCTATCCAAGGAGTTTTCTAAAATAATGATGCATTATCAGATAAATTTAAGTCTAGAGAATTTAAAAGTGCAGATATTCTCTGAGGAACTACTATGGTCTTAAGAAACAAGATAAATACTAACAGCTGTTGTGTCTTGAAGTTGTTCTTTTGCTTTACATTCTAGAATATAATCTTTTTCTTTTCTGGACAGAAATCGATTTGTTGCTGGCGTATCAGCGGAAAGTAAAAACCAAACAACAGACCATATAATACCCAGAGCACCTGAAGAAACAGTAATTCAAGAATACATTTCATCCCACAGATTCTTACTACGTACCCAACGTAAAATAGAAAAATGACCATCCATAACGCAAAAAATACGGTACACTATTGCTTAAACTCATTGTACAGAATAAACCTCCCATGATCAAACTTACAATTGTACCCATCGATGGGCCAGCCGATTGCAAACTAAGCAATGTAGTTCGTTCTCCAGCAGGTGCCCATGATGACCAAAATCGAAAAATAGTTGGCCACACACCACCCTACCAGTGGAAAATACAACGCCATCAAATACATAATAATAAAGTTTTTAAACTAATACCTGCGCTGCTCCCGTAATACTTCGAAGAATAATCACAATAGCTGGGTGATATTTTGCCACAAATGGTATCAGTAATGTACATAGTGATGAAAGGAATACGAGTAGAGCCAAAAATCGTTTTGGTCCAAGATAGCCTACCGCTATTCCTCCAAGTACTTGTGTCAGCGCATAACCCCAGTAAAATGAGCCAAGAATAACACCTCTCGTCGACTTCGGCCATGATAATACTTGATTTGGTGAACGTGCGATTGTTTTTTCATTATATTTACAAGCAGCTGGAAAATTTCGGCTAATTGTGCTATTACTGTTTGTCTGATGACCTGCATCTGCTTTAGGATCAACCATACACACAATTCCCACGCTCAATCCATTTCGTTGAGCATAACAGAGAAAAAACCCAAAAAATGCGACTATGGCTAATGTTATTCGAAGTGAGCAAAATAAAGGTGCTAGAATAGACAAAAGAAAACGAAAGAATTCGGTATGATATTGTCAGGATTAGGAGAACACTACCTTTTGCCTTGGGCACACCATCAACTGTGTAGTCTTCTTTCCCCATAGCTGTTGAAAAAAAATAAAAAGAAACAAAAGTCTTTTCCACATATAGTTTCCGTATATCAATTTTTTTTACATTCTTTTATTCTATGACAGTAATTTAAATTTCATAGCTTCAACTTTTCTTGAACATACAGTAGATAAAATGAAGATTCTCGTTTTCGGAATATGAGCTATTATTTTAGAAAGAATATCTTGAAGTATATAGAGAGTATTAACTCTTTCTATTATATCATATTTCACTTTTTAAATATGTTCCAAGAAAAAAATTTGCAATTCTATACATGCTTACGATCGCCTTCGTGTATAGTCCTTCGTTCTCGATACAATCACATACAATGACAACTGTATTCATTCAAACCTTTTCCACGAAGAAAAAGTAAAAAGTACAGGACACAGCACTTGACTGACGAAATTTACAAAATATATCAAGCATACGATAGCACAAGAATGAAAAGAGATCAGCACTTCACTGGACTTTGGTTCGTATCAACATGTGCAATTTTTACTTACATGAAGTACGTAGTATGAATAGTATACATCGAGTGGGGACAGTTATTCAGAAGAAGAGAAAAAGAAATATAAGATTTTTTTGTTCGTGAACTGCTGACCGAACAGAATACAGAAGAAACTTTATTTATCCTTCAAAACCATACGTTTCTTCTGTATTCTTGCGTTCAGCAGTTCATTGGACTCTGGTTTATATCAACCTGTGCAATTTTTACTTACATGAAGTACGTAGTATGAATAACATACACTGACTAGAGATAGTAGAGGCATATTTAGAATAATATCATTTTTCATCAAAAGTATGCGTAAAACTGCACTATTTTGACTTTTTCTCGAAAATATGTGTGCAAGCATAATAGCACGTAACTATATGCATTGTAGAACGGATTATTCGGTCACATTAGTTTCGACATAGTCAAATAGAATAAATTCTTTGATTTTATAAGAGTTGGATGATTCTCAGTTGCATGTGGTTTTATTTACTGAGTACGAACTTGATATTAGTTTTAACAGAAAACAATACTTCTTTCTGTGCGTGTGGGTCAATCCAAGAGTAATTCCGATCTCAGGGCTTATTATTTTCTGTTAAAAACATCTTTAATCGAAAACCTTTGATCAACGAATCGTTTTGACAAAGTTTGGTTAGTGTCATTTAAACAGTGGCTGACTTATGTCTATACGAATATGTATGATTATTGTAACTCTGGAAGTCCCGATTGGAATAAGAAATAGGCAGGAATGTCCACTGAATAAAAGCAAACTTTTTCCTTACTGAGAAAGACAAGGCAAAACACATTAGTTAATGCACAATCTCATTGAGAAAATTAAATTGAAAGTCTAATAAAAAAGTGAAAAATCTATGGGAAACACAGAGAAGACGAAATCCTTATAAAGAGCGTCATCTGGTGGAACAGATTTTTTGCGGAAAACGAATCTCAGAATGTGAGTAGTAGGACATTTGGCAACTCTAGGAACAGAAGCCCTACTCTACTGTTTGAAAAGTTTTTCACTCGAACATATCAGAAGTGATCACTAAATACACTCGATTTGTACTACAGAATATGATAAACTACATGGCAATAGTCGTTTGTTCGATAAACCTCGTAGTTTTCGAGGGACGTTTTATTTCTACATTCTGTTGGAATGGTCCAAAACCACAAGGTGTTTTTTATCTAAGTCAAATTTCGAGATTCCGATTTCGAGATATTCTGATGGTAAATTCTTCCTTTGTGTTGCATCAGTTTTCTAGCCATGGAATGGAAGTTTTGACTTGTGGCAGCGGTAGATATTTAGTCGTAATCGACAGGACCCTTTGAGTGCAAATAGACGACATACAAAATAGACAAAACAGATTTTCTTATTAAGATATAGTATTGAAAGAAAATGAATAACATCCGATCCATTAGTGATTAATCCCCTCACTTAGCATTCTTTCTTGACAGGAATATTAATGCGAAAATAACTTGAATAAAGGAACAAGTCAGGCTAATATCTTTCGTCGGAAGTATAGTGACTTGAAAAGAATATTACATGAGAAAAAAGATAATTACGATGATGGTTTATGAGAGTTTTTTGAAGCTACCAAGGAAACTCAAAGTGTTTACCTCGATACTTTTCGTCGTTTAATAAAAGAATATAAAATTCTTTTTGTATAAATAAATTAAACACGCCTACCACTAGCTATTAGTGACAGCTGTCAACGTCTTTATAGAAAGAAAGAGAATCAAGAATGTCACGGTTTTATTGTTAATATTATTAAAACGGAGAGAGAATCAAGCAAGCATCGTCACAGTAGTTATCTCACCGCACTATCAAAATGTATAATTCTATTATACTATAGAAAAATCTTTAATAAATTATTATTATGTCAGAGGATAACTAGCAGACCGAATAAAATGTAACAAAGACGAAAATTATGAAGTCAAGACAACAGTTGGACTTAATCGAGATCAGATGTGAAGACGATTAAAAGCAGTTCTCTACCAGCCTATGTTTATAAGTTCGAGTTCATTAGTGGTATTTTTTGATAGTGTAAATTTCTTTAGAATATTATAATGAATTTATAAAAATAATTAATCCTTAAACTAAAAATAATAATTACATTTAGTCCAGAAAAATTAATTAAGCTAAGTAAAAATGACTGATAAACAGATAGATACTATTCGTTAAACTATGTTTATCGATATTATTTGGAAATCCTATTGTCACAAAACCGGTTAGAAAAACAATTTTTTTCTTTCTAATAATATTAACATTAA